CCGCCTCCAGGGTCCCCGCCCTCCCTGGCATCGAGGCTTCCGGGCCTCTCCCGGAGGCCAGCTACTTCCCCGGCTGCCCGAGCGGGGTCCCCGGACTACGGAACACCCCGGGACCCTCGGTCCTCCGGCGCCGCTCCGGCCCCTCCTCTCGCCGGGCCCCCGAGTGGGGGCCGCCACGAGCCGCGGCGCTCCGAGGGGCTCCCCGAGGACCTTGGAATAGAGGAGCCGACACATCGGTGCCCGCACACCACCCCCGCGCGTGCCCCCTTCCCAGCCCGCTGCCTCGCGCGACATTTCCCCGAGGAGCTCCTAGCGCTCGCCCGTGTCCTTGTGGAAGGAACCGCCTGGGGAATGGTGACCCCTAGTTTTTGGAGCTGGTCTGATTTAGGGTCTACGCTTATACTGCAAACTGGACGGTAGCAGGTGAAAGCCTCCGCTGGAGAAAGGGGAGGGACCCGGCGCGTGGAGACCCGGCCCCTGTAGCTGCCATTTCCGAGACTCTGCGCGCGGAGGAGCCGTCCGGGGCTCGGGCTTCCTCCGGCCCCAACTTCTCTCTCTCCCTCGGACTGTCGGGAGGGATCGCGGGGCGCCGCACAGCTGGAGAGCCCCAAACCCGAGCTTCTGCGCGCTCAGGAGCGCCCGGGCCCGCTCCCAACTCGGGGGAAGCAGCTTCGCGGCGGGAGCTCGCTCGCCCGCGCGGGGCTGCGGGACTCGCGCGGAGAAAGTAAACTTCTGCCCGCTGGGTTTCGGCCGCGGTTTGCCTTCTGCTCGGCGAGGTCGCTCCTGGCATTTAACCAGCAGAGCGATACTCTGCCTTCCCAGGTGCCGGCCCGGCTGAGGATTGCTGCGGGTTTGTTCCCTTGGAGGGCTTCGCGAATCCCCGCAGCTTGGGACCCGCGGGAAGAAAACACGAAGTTGCGCGGCGTGGAGATAGCGCGGGTTTCCGTGGCTCCGGGGCGCAGGGCGAGGGGCGCCGCCACCGTCTCCATCCAGGGGGCTCTCTGGAACCAGGGGCTCTTGACCTCTCCGCGCGTCCGCTTCGAGCTGAAAGGCGGTGGGTAGACGTGGCCGGGAGGACCGCGGGCGCACGCAGAGCTCGGAGCCGTCCGCGCGCGCCGGGGCGCCGGCAGGTGATTTGGCTCCAAGGCTGAAACTTGTGCCCGGAGCTCTAGCGGCGCCACTCGGCTCGAATCCCTCCAGAGCGTCGGAAGGGGGGCGTCGCCGCGCGGGGAGCTGCGGACCAGGGGCTGCAGGGCACACGTTTGAATATCAGGGATGAACTTGCACTGGATTCGGGGCGCGCCGACTCCGGAGGAGGCGGAGACCGAGGAGGGCTGTCGACTTTTAGGGGGAGGTGGATCACTCCCGGGTGAGGGGGCGGCTGGCAACAGCCCCCGCCCGTTTGCTCTGCTGCGCCCGCGCGCGGGGAGCCGGGGTGCAGGGAGCCGGGGTGCGCGGACCCAGCGCCCCAGCTTCCCCTCCGGGGCAGCGAAGCGAAGGGCTCAAGCTGAACCGCCGAGCCCGCAGGAAGCGCACCACGAATTCGGTGGTGAGATGCTAACGGATAAAGAGACATTGAAAGAAATGTCTGTGTGCGTGGGTTGCCAGGAGCGACTTTTTAGGTTTAATATTGCTAGATGGATCCCGGGTGGGAACAGGTATAAATCTGTAGACTGCCCGCTTGCCACAAGGCTCGATGCTTCCTCCAGTCCTCACCCTCGTTCCTAAGTAATAAGTAACTGTTCCTGCTGCTAAAGCGAAGTGACAGATAAGAATTATCATAAACTTTCCGACAAAAGGCCATCTCCTGTAGGATTTCTGATTACATAACCCTATGAGTTAACAGGGGACTATGTGGCAGACTCTCAGAAAAGAATTACAAGGAGTCTTGGTGGAAGAAAACTCAGTGCAGAGTCGACTCCTCTCCAGAAAGGGTCTGGCTTGAAATTCATCTCCTGGTTGCTGCTGAGGTGCAGGCCGCTGTCTGCTATTAATGCCTTTCTTTAAAGTAAATAAACACAGGCCATTCACATATTTAATACCTGAAAGGCGTCTTATAGTTCTGGGAATGTTGTGGAAAGACATGTGCCAGCCACAACCGAGTCTTTACTTTGCAGTTTGGGGCTTACAACATGTGTCGGCAACAGTGGTAATCAGGGGCGTGACATTTGGACACCTTCAACAGAGTAAATAGCCTGTGGATTTAGGGACCTGCTTCCAGAAGCATTGACTTCTCTCTCCTCTTGAAAAAGTGCAGTTTTCTCAATGATTTTTTTTATTGTTGCAAAAGCAAACTCACATTTGTTAATTGTTATACCAAAAAAAGGGGGTTGGGGATAGAAATGACCCTTTCCCTGCCACTTTTCATACTCTGCTTTTATGGGGGGAAATAGCTGATATACAAAGAGAAGCCAATCTTTATGTCAGAGGATTCCCCCCATCCCTTACACCCTTCCATCTGTCTATATTATGGAGAAGAAATTAGTGAGACTCAAAGGCACCTTCATATCCAAGAGCCTTCCAAATGCACACCTCCCCCCAAATTAAAATAACTGCTGCCTTGTTGTGGTCTTGTATAGTTCCCTATATTGTTTGACAAGTGAAAACTGAAGTTGATATATATATGGCATCTCTTCCAGTGGAGACTGTCTTGAACTTTTTATCTCTTCGTGATAATCTCTGCGTAAAGGGTATCTCCAGAACTTTTTTCTTCCCTGGAGACAGCATTTCATTCATTAGCACACTGCTTGAATGTGGAGTGGAGATATTTATTCTCTGTTCACTGGTAGGCCTTTTTCTCTACGCTAGGAGCTCCGAGAGCAAGGATGGTGTCAGAGACATCGCTGTTCCCCCAAATCTAGCACGGAGTCGGTCACTGAATAGATGCATGTAAATGAGGATAATGAGAGCTACCATTTAAACTGCTACGTCCTGTGATTTATATACATTTCCTGCTGGTCTTCATTACACCCTAATGACCTAAATTCTATATCCTCAAATTATGGGGAAATTGGCGCTTATTCACACTTACCCAAAATCACCAAGCTATTTTGTTGCAAAGGAGTTGGAATTAGAACCTTATACCTGCCTGACTCTGCAGCCTGCCCTGTTCAGCACTGTGCCCTGTTCAAATGGAGAGGCATCACCTTTTCAGTTGTCCAGGGTTAGTTAAAGGGAATCGACATATATTTAATGCCGAATAAAGGAATAGGTCAGATTTAGAGTATGTTCTTTAGCGCCTATGCAATCTAATCAATATCAACTCAAGTATGGAGCCTTGGAAAAGTATGGCTCTCTTATGCTAAAATACGACACCGTGGCCTAGTCAGTATTACCGTGAGATTACCAAATCCTGAGTTTTATGTTTCCTTGAAGGAAGGGGGAGTCAGGCCACTGTGAATTTATCACTGCAGAGAACTTTTCATCGTTTCTACGTTGATATCCTTATGTTTACAAAAGAAGTGAATGCTATTATAAAGTTTCGGTCATGCAATATAAGTTCTAGAGACCTGCTGTACAACACTGTGCTTATAATTACTGTATTGCACTGCACGGTGCACTTAAGATTTGTCCAGAGAATAGATTTCACGTTAAGTGTAATTACCCCAATAAAAAAGTAAGCGCCTGG